TGTGGTAGTAGTACAGTTTATCGCTGGAGGGATTCAAACTGGTAGATTAATTATCAAGCATAATGCAGGAGGAACTCTTGAACAGGGTAGGAGCTTAGGACTGAAAGCCTCCCAGGTCCTATATCTGGTTCTGAAAATTCAAGATTTGATGATTGAATGGTAAAAGTATTAATGTATTGATTCCGTAATAGAGATTATATGCACATGGAAGGGACTGGACTTTTCATACTTATATTTCAAATCACAATTGGCTTGAGACACACCTACTCAACATGTGCCCCACCTGTTCACACTATTCACTGAGTTAAAGTAAAATAAAAACCAAGTCGTTCATGTCTTCTTAGTAACTTTGTATTTATACATGTGGTCACAGGTGCCAGTTTATTCTGAGACTAAGAAGACTGAGAAAATATCTTTCAAGATGAAGACATACATAAAGACTGACACCTTTGGTACAGTGGCACCAAATTAGGCTATGTATGTGGCAAGGAAACAAATAAGCAACCCCCCAACCACATCCTCTTAGGTTCACAGTATCTGCTGTCACTGCTGCCACCACCATATAATCTTGATGCACAAAAAGTGTTGATATGGTGTCACATCCATCCAAAATCATGGTTTCCACTCTATTCTTAAATGTGTAAAAATGAGACCTTGTGCCCAATGTCTTCATTTCCCCTTCCAGATATATTCTCCACTCTTCTTCACCCTGTTCTCTTTCCTATAAGGCTGACCTGTATGAACTACATAAACAGGGCTCCCATGGCCTCTGGCTTCATCTTTGGTTTGGCCTCCTTGTCTGAAGATCAGAGGGAGGAAGAAGAGCAAAGTTTGAGTATGTAATCCCCTGGCTCTCTCCCAGTGAAATCGCCTCCACTAAAGGTGTCTGCACCTCTTAAAACAACATGTTTTACATGACGTAACTGCTGCTGGCCTTAGGTTCTTGCTCTCTCCCTTGGGGTGCCCCTACACCCAGATCATATCTTTACAATTAGTCCCTTTGCAAATCTAACCTCCTCAAATAATCTTAATTGAAATGCCTCATCTGTTTTTTTGGGGGTCCTGACTGATACACATCTCAAGTTTCAATGAATTGCAGTCAGACTTGGACAAAAGATCCATTTGGCACTTACTTGCTACTTAGGTTGGTCCATTATGAAGTTGCTTATATTTGACCATTTTGACCCAGAAAAATGACAGTTTCATAATAGTTCAACCTAACACTGTTCACACATATAGTTCTCATTTGTTGATGGTCAAAATACTGGACCAAGAAGTAAGAGTATAAGAAATGTCTTTATTATGTGAAACTGAAATTGTTCTCTGTAGCATTTCCTTAAGAATATGGGATTGGGAATCAGAGACTGCTGTTCTAGACCCAACTCTACTATTAATTTGCTATAAGGTCTTAGAAAACTCAATTTCCTTCTCTGGATCTCAATTTCTTCATGCACAAAATGAGGAATCAGACTAGATGCTCTCTACAGGTTTTCCCATGTCTGCTATTCTAAAATTTCAGAATCCCATATCCCTAACTATGTTAGTTCCTTGAAACAAGGACTGTGTCCCCAAAGTATTGTCCAAAGATTCATTACATCAGAATAATCTGGGGCATTTGATAAAATGCAGATTTTTAGGCACTATCTCCAGAGCTACTAAATTACCATCTCCAGATGTGAAGCCTTTCCTTGCTTACACATACTGAACATTGAGAACCACTGCATTGGGCACATGATTTATACAAAGTACTAGTCAATAAACTACTATTGATTGTTGAAGCTGCTTACGTAGCCATCCTAGGTGATTTAATTGAATAAACCACTAAAGGTAGATAAAATAATGCAACAAATGGATTTTTTTCAACATACAAAAACATCATTAAGAAGGTATGAAAACAAGCAAACAAAAAGAAGCAGCAGCTCTTCTAAGTACCAGAACTACCAGCATATACCATATATTTTAAATTTGTATTGGTTTCTTTATTTCTAGAAAATACAAATACAGTTCCAACCCAAATATTTGGAGCCAGGCTTTTAGTAATCTTATCCCTCCAAAGCATGGATTGCATTGGACTTGGAAGAAAGTAAACCCCCCAAAGTTTCTAATTCCCGTGTGTTATATCCAAGCACTTCTCTCTGCTTTTTCAAGCAGGATCTCTTGGCCTTCTCTTTAATATAATTACTAAAAGGTTTGGATATCTGGTTTTCTAGGCACCAACAGGATGTAAACATACCAATGTAAACAGAAGAGGTGGCAACTAACACTGAGGATGGAGACACAAAAAGCAAAAAGCAGACTTAGAATGAATATAATGAATATCCTTTATGATGATCATAAAGTCACCAAGAAAATGGACTCTTCTGTTCAAAATCCTTGTTTAGGATTATAAGAAAAGATGCAATACATTTTTAGAGAACTTTATTCTCAAAGTTAAAATTAAAAAGGCTTTACCACTTGAAGAGGTAAGGTTCATTTATTTAAAACTTCCACCTTATTTAGAACATCTATCATGGCCCAGTGAAGTCAGTATATGAGGAGTTAATGAAACAGAAATAGTCTGTTTTTCCAGAATGGGGTAAAGAAAAAAAGGGCCTCATGGGCCAAGATTCTAAGGACATATTAGCCCAGTTCTGTAGCCCTCAGCCTCAGAGATTACCGTTGAAAATGTTGATAGAAGATGGAAAGACTCATAGTACATGAAGATAATCAACCTTGCAAAAATAATTAGGAACAAGTCCTAATGCTTCCAAGAATATGGGACAGTAGCCAAATGTAAAACAACAACAAAAAAGCCATTACCAAACAATAAAATATCCTGTGTAATACTGACATATTTCAAGCTTAAGGGGGTCATTTCTAGTAGTGATATCCTCGGAATGAGATGGGATTTTAAAGTCAAAAGAAGTTCAACATAGCCAAAGAACACAGAGTTTGGTGACAGGAGGACTAAATATTAAGGCTGACAAGATAGGTCAAAATGGGCTTTAAGAAATCATGTTAAAAAGTTTGAACTTTAATCTAGGGACAGTAGGAAGCCATTAAATGACTCTAAACAAGATACATACTGTATTGTAGAAGAATCTCTAGCTACAGAGTGGAAGTTAGTTTGAATGGGAGCAAGACTTTAGGAAGTAAGACCAATTAGAGACTCTTGCAGTAGTCCAAGTGAAAGATAACATTGGATTAAACTATGGTGGTAAGAGGAAAGTTAGAAAAAAGTAGATGAATTCGAGGGATGTGGTAGGTAGAAATGACGGATCTTGGTGATTGATTCAATCTGGAGAGTGAAGGGTAGAAAACTGGCAAAAATGATTCAAAATTTCTGGCTTGAGCAATGGGGTGTGTGGTGGTGCCGCTGACTGAAACAAAGATAAATGGAAGAGGAGAATGCTGTGTTTGCTTGTTGTTTGTTTTCTGTTGTTGTTTTTAAATTGGGGGAGGGAGATGGAAATGATGAGACTATTTTGGACATGCTTAGTTTAATGAATTTATGGAATAGCCAAGTGGACATGTCCAATAGATAGTTGGATATAGAGGTCTGATACTCAAGAGAAGTTAGGAACTGCAATTGAGATGAGAATCATTGGCATATATATAAGGTAACGATGTCATGGGAAAGGATGAAATCACTTAGAGCCTGTATGGTAAGAAGAGCACCTAGAACAAAACAAAGAAAAACACCAACACCTGAGTGATGAACAAAGAAAGAGAAGATTACCAAAGAGATAACAAAAGATCTTTATATCACAAAGGCCTCTGATATAGCTATGTAATATTGTGGAAATTATTCTAAAAAGCATAGCCATAAAAGTATGAAGAATACCAGGTACACTATTTACCTTTGGTACTATGTCCAGACCTCTTTTACCGGGCCAATGAAACCGTCCCCCAGCTACTTCTGAGTATTACCATTGGCTGAAAGGAGCCACCTCACCCTAAAATGCCTGAGAAGTTATGTTTTCCTCTAGTCAGCCCACAGGCAATGACTGATTGAAATGAGCCTACAAAAGCCCAGGCCACTTGCCTCAAGGTGGGCCAAATCTGTAGTGCCATTCATGCTCCAAATCTCCCCGTGGGGTCAAATGGAGGCTACACTTCAAGTAAAATCACACCTTTGCTTTACTTCTTCCCCTTCCCTATCTCGCTTCCCTTACTTCCTTACAGGTTTCTCTGAGAGGACACTCTCAAAAAATTGTTTGCTTAGCAATCTTTGTCTCAGGCCCTGCTTCTAGAGAACCTAATCTAAGAACCAGGGAATTGTGGTGTCTCTGAAGTCAGAGAAAGAATTAATCTTACACTATATATTTATATTTTATGCATTATATATATATATATATATATGTTTATTTCATAATAAAAAGGAGTCAAGGAGGAAGGGAAATGTCAACAATGTTGAATGTTGCTACATGCTACTAAAGAAATCGAGTAACATAAGAACAGACAAGTGTTCATTTTAGCAATAGAGCCAACATTGGCCATGTTGGTTGTAGAAGTTGCCTCAGAGTCATGGGGTTGGAAGTCAGACAGCAGTGGTGGAAGAATGAGAAGGGAGTAAGTAGAGACAATAAAGAAAACTACTTCTTCAAGAAATATGACTGTGAAGAGAAGGAAAGATATACGGTACTATCTGGAGGGAAGATTTTTAAATTTAAGATGGGAGATTCTTGATCACATTTAAGTGTTAATGGGACAGAACCGATAAAGATATAGGTTGAAGATCTAAGGGAGAAGAGAGAAAATTGAGAGCAAATGGCTGGAGAGAACTGCTTTTAAGATGTTACAGAGGGAATTCAAACACAGGCTAAAGAGTTGCCCAAGAAGACCTTTGAGATCTCTTTCTACCAAGAGTCTGAGCTGATGATGTTTTTCCAAATACAGTGCAATGTCTGAACATCAGATACCAGAGCACTTGAGTTCATCTGGCAAAAAAAATCAAAAGTTTTGGTCTAAGGCAAGAATTTATCAGTCTTATTTTTGTTCTAGGGGTTAAGGGCTCTTACCCGCCAATATCCTGCTTCACAAAGTCCCCAGGTTCTTGTCGTCTTGACTCCCCTTGGCCAGTTGTTCCAGGGAGAATATTAACCAGGAAGAGAAGCCCAAGGCTAGCCATGTAGAAGTGACTCATTTCTGTGATTATCATCTTCTTAGGCACCAACTTGTAGAGACCTGTGAGATCCGTGTTCAGGGAAAGAGGAAGGGGAAAGGAGGAGAAGACAAAGGGATAGAGGAAAAGGTTTTAAAAAAAAGATTTTATTAGACACTATTAGAGCCACTTAACTTCCCTGGTATCCAGTTACTAAATGCCTAATGTGACGTTCCCCTTTTCCCAGTTCATCAATGCCACTAAAATTCACTCCCAACATACCCTTCACTTGAATATACCAGAGCCCATCCAAGAAAGGGCAGTGTAAAGAGCTCTAAATCAGTAATTTGGAGTCTTAGCTTACAGTTCCAGCTCTTTCCCTGTCTTCCTATGACTAGGTGGGTCACAGAACTTCTCTCAGCCTCAGTTACCTCTTACAATCCAAGAGCTTAAAATAATCTCTCATGTCTTCAATTTATTTCCCCCTAATCCCATTTGATCTTTACTATCACTAATGCCTTTGCCATAGTTAACTGTGTAATATTGTAGAAAATTCTAGAATATGAAGACCTGGAGTCTCTTTATAGCATTTTTGGAATTGATTCCCATCTTGATACAGTTAAGTAATTTTCCAAAAGATCAAAGGGCCTGGGGTAGATAGACTGTTTCCTCTGAGTCAGGTTAAGAAAATGCTGAATGATGAGACACCATGGCTCTTGAATAGGAATGCAATGTTTCCCCATAAAGAGAGTTGAGGCCAGCCCCATATAGGGGCCACAACATAAAAAAGAAATCCAAGCCTAGGCTGCTGGTACAGAAGTCCCTAAGAGGTCAGCAAATTATACTGATGATAGAATTATATGATTTAGAGTTGCCTATATGCAAGGCTGTTTTATGAACTCTGGACTGGTGGAGGTTTATCCAAGACGTGGGGTTAAGAAAACAGCATAAAGTGGCACTTGCTTGCTATCTCTAAACCATATGGCTTCTTTGAATCTGAAACATTTACCACTTGAAGAAGACCTAACTCTGAGCCAACACCATACTCTTTTTCAGTAATATCAGTGGTTTAACTTTCAGAAGGAATGGAAGGATGTGAAACTTTTTTTCCAAGGAAAGTTTATGCAAGAGACTAATATGTAAAACACATACAGGCTGGAGAGCTATTCAGGTTGATGAGAAGATGAAGAACAAAAGTCTTTCTAAACCGATCCCATCCCCCAAAAAGCAGCCACTAGGATCTATACTAGATTGTCTTCTTGAACCTGTGTGATGAGAAAACAGCTATTTTGAGTTGCTGCCTAGGCATTACAGTATGACAACCCTGCTCACAGTCTGGACATTTAGATAAGGACTGGAGCTGAGGATTGCCACCACAAGTTCCTGCTTTTCTTTTCCTGAGGCACCTTTTAAAATATCCACTTAGATCTGAGCCCGGGAAAAGTTACTGACCTCTGCCGCAACCACCTTATAAGTAATAGGTACTTGCTACCCTGCTGTCTATCTTCTGCTCGCTCATGACTTGGGATGGAGAACTGCCCTTCCCCCAGCTCATTGCATTCCTCTGCCCCATTCTGGAATCTGTAAGTAATAAATCTTGTGACTTTACTTCCTTTCTGTGAGTGTACTGAAACTGTGCCTTCAATCAAAATGACCGTGGGGTTTTCACTTCCCTTAAGTGGGAACTTGGATGCTGAGGGAACTACCTGCCAACCCTGTGTGGGTGGCTTGTGGCTCCTCATTCAGCAGGTCATAATCTGCATATTCTTAATGTAATAGGTAAGCTACGGATGCCCCAACACAATCTGGTACAGGCATAGAAAACTATGATAATGAAGAAGATGGACTTCTGACATGAGGCAATGTCCACATTATAGATAGAAATAGTTGTAGAATTGGGTTGCATCATATAAAATTGCCAATTTTTGACAATTGTTGTTTCACAAAAACAGCAATTTCTTATGATCAATCTAATTCTGTGACATTGATGATTCATGAGCTGTACAAAAGTTGATGGTCATTTTACAGAAATGAATAGAAACAGTACAGTTCAGAAAACCATAGCATATGACTAAGAAAATATGGTACAGGAGCAGACAACTCTGGGGCATGAGAAACTTCCATAGTATGAGCAGTAACCACGATATATGCTCAAACATCCACAGTGCTTTAGCAGACGCTAATGTTGTATGATCACATGACAAAGATTAATGCTCAGATAATCACGATACATGATTGACAATTACTCTACAGGAACAAAGAGACTTGGTACAGGATATGGAGTCCAAATTGCAGAAATAATCCACGGAATATAAGACAGAACCATGATGGATGCTCAGAAAACGAGTGTATGAGTAACAATTCTGGGTATAGGAGAACATGGCCATGCTGCATGAGCAAAGAGACCCACAGAGTGTGTTCAACTATGCTATTCTAGTATATAATTATGTATGTTCAAATGATCATGGTAAACAAGCAGCAAACCTTCACACTAAGAATAGATGCCAATGACACAGAAGCAAATGCCCATGATTTGGAAGGAGAAAACTATGGTATATAGTATGATGCATTAGAAGACAGCAATATTATATGAACTCATGACTAAGGTATATGTTCAAATAACCATTATGCATGAGAAGACAGCCATCATATATAGAAGACGCTGAGCATAATGTGTGCCCTCCAACCACCATGACACTTTTTTAGCAAACATCATTATTATAACACATGGGATGACATTTATAGTATAAAACCACCTGACCATGGTATATATATCAGAAAACCATAACACTTGAACCTAATAATCACTGAACAAGAGAAGATGGCTTTGTATACACTCCATTAAGACATTGTACCTGATCAAAACCATGGCACTGGGCTATTGCACAACAATGTAAATATACTTAACACTAATAAACTATATAGTTAAAAATGGTTAAGATTTTTTGTTGTGCTTTTTACCATAATTAAATTTTTAATTAAAAAAAAATGCTACTAGAGCAGGTAGCCTTAGCAAGTTCCCAACAACAGGACCCAACCCTGGTATATGTACAGAGTAATGTGAAGCATTAGCAGATATTAGTATTAAATGAATATACATCCATGGTACATGCTCAGATGACCATCAAACAAGTGTAGACAAGGACTGTAGTGGAGCAGATACCCCAAATTCTTCTTATGACAAACTTGGTACATTTGCAAGTGACCATAGTGCGTAAACTGAAAACCATGACACTTGAACAAAGAGCCTTCAAACATGATAAAGTATCCATGTAGCCGGAAATAACTATGGTATATGCTCAGAGAACCATGATGCACGTGAAGAAATATTTGGTATATTAGTCTTTAACCATGATGTGTGCACACACAATATATGTATCATGGCAACCACCATACAGGAATTAAGCGACATGGTTTAAGATGGCCTTGCCAGGGGAATAGACTGCCAGGGTGCAGGAACAGAAGGCCGTGGTGCAAGAGTAGGCAGATATGCTCAAATATTTTTCACTGGAAAAAAGAGGTAAGATATAGATGCAAGTGGCCACAGTGAAGAATTGACATCTTTCAAGTACTGATGACCATGGTGAATAAATAGCTGTCTATAATATATGAACAAACAAACATAGTACACCCATCCATGGTGAATAAACTGAAAATTACAGCAAAGGAACCTCATATAATGACATAAATATTCAAACAACTATGCTGCATGAGCAGAATGTAAAACTAATACTAGTTTTAAAGTTAGTATGAAGAAGCCAGGCCACGTTGCAAAAGTAGACAACCATGGTGTATGCTCATAAAAGGACAGTACATGGATAAACCTCAATGACATATGAGCTTACAACCAATGGATATATTCAAATAACCTTGGGCACAATAGCAGATGCCAGTGGTAGGAGTAGATTGGCCCTAAAATGTGAGGAGACAACCCTTGTGCAGGCTCAGATAATCTTGGTGTTACAGTGGATTATCCACGGTACATGAGCACACAATCATGACACATGCTCAAGCCACCATAATATGTGATTGCATGGCCAAAATAGCAAAAGGTTACTCAACCAATTCACTCCACTCAAGAGCTAAAAGAGGATACAAGGAACAAACCATAGGGAAATATCATCTATAAGCTGGTGACTTACAAATTAATATCTCCATCCCAGATCTCTCCTGCAACCCATATCTGCATTTAGATGTCTGCGAGGCATCTTAAACCTAACATGTTCAAATCTGAGGTTCAGATATCCACCTGCACGCACACACACACACACACACACACACACACACACACACACACACAGACCTGGTCTTCCTGCAGTCTTCCTCATCTCAGGTAATTGTAACTCCACCCCTCCATTTGCTCAGAGTTTTCATTCTTGACTCCTCTTTTACTCTCATATATCACATCCAATCCATCAGTAAGTCTCATTGGCATTCCATTCAAAAGTAAACATATCCAGAATAAAACCACTGGTCATCATTTCCGCTGTTACAACTCTGGCTCATCATCCCTTGCTGAGATCATTGTAAAAGCCTCTTAACTGGTCTTGTTGCCTCTGCCCTTGCTCCCCTACAATCTGTTCTCTATACAGCAGACAGGGTGAACTTTTAAAGTGTTAAGTAAGATCACGCCTCTTCTCTGCTCAAAACCCTCCAGCTGCTTCCCATTTCAATAGCCTTATTAAGATCTACAAGGACCTACATGATCTAATCCCCAAATAGCTAGCTAACATCCTCTACTACCCTCCTCTCTCACTCACTCCACTTCAACCACTGTGGCCTCCTTGCTGCTCATTGAATATGCCAGACATTCTCCAGCTCTAGGGCCTTTGCACCTGTTATTGCCTCTACCTATAATTTCTTCCATCCAATTTCCAGATAGTTTGTTCCTTCTCTCAATTCAGGTTTGTATTCAAATATCACCTTTCCCATTGAGGCCTTCCCTGACTACCCTATCTAAAATTTCGATGCTTCCACACATCCTGGATAGTTCCTATGCAGTTGCTTGCTCTATTTTTTCTCCTTTGCACTTCTAATGTATATATTTATGTTTTTTGTTGTTGTCTGTTTCCCCAGTAGAATATAAGC